ATTTTTTGTAAATAGCAAATGTTTTCAAGAAAGATTTGGTACAAGTGATCATCGGGAAGAGTTAGTGATTTGCGTCTGAACTAGCAAAATCTTATAATATTAGCAGAACAATAGTATCAGATATTTTAAAAGAAAAATAGATGGCTTTTTATCTTAGATACAAAGCAAGAAAAAAAAAGTTTCAAGAACCAAAATGGCCAAAATTAGAGAATGTACTAGTTTTATGAATAGATAATGCACTAGCAATGAATCAAGATATTGATGGTAATGTTATTAAGGAAAAAGTAAAATTTTTTGCTAAGAAGTTAGAAATTAATAACTTTAGCCAATCAGAAGATTGGCTAAATAGTTTTAAAAAATGAGTTAGTCTTTAGTCATTCAAAAAACATGATAAATTATTAATTGCCCTATCTGAAGAATCAATAGCTAATGATTATATTGTCTTGCGAGAGCTACTTTGTGCTTATAAATTTGAGGATATTTGGAATAGAGATGAAACTAGACTTTTTTGGAAGATAGAGCCCTCCCGAGTTATGACACATTCACAAATTAAAGGTTATAAAAAAGAAAAGACATGTATTATAATCTTTTGCACTGTAAATGCTACCAGAACTAAAAAAATAAAGCTTTCTTTTATTCATCAATTTAAAAAACTATGTGTTATGAAAAATTTAAACTATAACAATTTTTCTGTTGATTACTTTTGGAATAAAAAAGTATAGATGCAAGTTAGCATCTTCAACAATATTCTTCTTAAACTTAACAGTAAAATGAAAAGACAAAATAGAAATATCCTGTTATTAGTCGATAATGCTACAGTTCATATTATACTAGATAAAACTAAAGATGAGTTGAGCAATGTTAGAGTTGAATTTTTACTAAAAAATACTACAGCATTTCTTCAATCTTGTGATGCTAATCATTTATTCTTTTAAATGCAAGTACAAACAACTTTTTATTTAAAACTGTATAAATACTTATAATGATTTTCAAGATAGTAAAGTAAAAGAGCTTTCAGACTACAATATCTATCATGCATTAATTAATGTGGCAGAGGCATGATCAATAGTATCATCTGAAACAATTGTTAACTGTTGGAAAAAAACTGGCATTTTCATACCACAAGAAGAAGAAATACAAAAAATTGAGTATGAATATAATTACAATAATAGTGAAGATATTATAAGTAAAGAGAAAAAAGATCTTGATGTTTTACTTGCCCAGTTACTAGAAAATAATTATCTGAATGCCTATGAATATATTAATATTGAGGATGCAGAATTTACTAGTGAGCTTATAGATAAAGATATATTAAAAGCAATAAATGATACAAATAAGAAAGAAACTGAACCAGCTAATAGTGAAACAAAGAAAAAGATAAGTTATACTGAAGCTGAAAAAGCAATTAATACAACTCTAAGATTTTTATATGAGCAAGATATAGACTTCCATGATGTTGAAAAGGATATAAAAACTTTAAGAAAATTGCATCAGAAAGTTAGATTACTTCTTGTAAAAACCTTAAGCAAGCTAATCTTGACCAATAGTTTATAACTAAATAAATTAAACATCATAAGTATATATATTTATATAAATTATCTTCAAAAATAAGACACTTATATAGCTTACCAATTTTTTTAAGATTTTGAATATGAATATAACTTAATAATTAAGTTTGATCAACCAAATATAAGTAAATATAAAATTGTATTACATGCTATATAGCATTCTTTTAAAGAGTTCAAAAAAATATTAAAAATTATATAAATTAGAAACTACTTTATTCTTTTTTATTTTAGATAGATATTTTTATTTTATTAATATAAAATAAAATCAAATAAAATTTTTATTAAGCTAAAACC